AATAAATTTTGAAGAACCCTCAAAGGCGCAGTGCATATATATCGAAAAAGCGCTTGGTACTAAATGGGGATATACAACCAAGGATGTTTAAAAATAAAATCCAGAAGACATGAAGGAAAAAAAACCAAGGATAACGAAACCGCTCAAACAATCGGTTTAGGGATTCCATGTTAGTGATGTTACTGAGATGCTCCTACACGATAAACGCGACTATTTGAGGCGATCTTTATCAAGTAAGAAAAATTTGAAGATTTATATTTATCATGAATTCTTACAACGATTACGGAAAGATATTCGGCAACTGCCGACCGTCCAGCATTTTGAAGCTTACGAGCAATAGCATCCGCAACCCAGCAATGGATACCACGACGACCAGAAAAAACCCACAAGCGATGACGGAAACCAAAATGTTCTGAAGGAAAAACAAAAGAGGTTTTCAAAAATTGGGAAATATTATAGAAACAGTTAGTGGAAACTGGTACGCTAACAGATACTAGAAGGAAAGAAACGTCAAATTCAAAGAAAACAAACTTTTCAAAAGAAAATCCAAAACGTCAACAGCAATAGACAGCCACCTCCAACACTTTTCGCAAACTTTTGCTTCACTGAAATTAGCCCTTATTATTATTATTGTTATTATTATTACTGTTATTATTATTATTGTTGTTATTATTATTATTACTGTTATTATTATTATTAAAATCAAAAGATTAGATCGTTACCTCAAAGTGAATATATAAAAACCGCCGAAACTAGTACATGTGAAGAAGCCAGCAATGCTAATAAAGATAATTAATAATAACAATAGCATTAGTAATAGGACAGAATACCGATTATCATGGTAATAACAATAATGATAATAACAGTAGTAATATTCGTAATAATAACGGCAATAATAGCTACAACAGCAGCGACAACTATTCGATGTAGAATAACATATTACAAAACACGGAAATGCGAAGGCAGAATATTTGAAATTAAAAGTTTAAATAGCCGAAAAGGAATGTTTCGGTCCATTAAGCCGTATACAACTTCCTTCTCATTGCCACAACTGGACCTTGTCAGTATGACGGTTATGGGGTATGTATGAAAGTCGACGAATATATATATGAGAGATAAGGTAAGCACAAATTGTGTTTCGATAATGCACAGACAGCAAATGCTTTTGATGCTTCTGCACATACTGCATTTGAACCCGGCAATGTTAATGTATCAATAGCATACTGATTTGAATGTATAAAGCTAATATATGTGAGAAAATTGGTTATGCTAATGTACTAATGTATCTCGATTTTACTAATCTGAAGAATCTCGATCAAGCATGCGAACCCCGTGATGCTAATATGCCAATGGCAAATATCTGTATCACTATGAATGTATAATAAAAACTGTTGTAACGTATATATTAGGCTAGTAAAGCAGAGTTTTAACCTTTGTTATAAAAAGTTAAATCGATGTCATTGAATCGTCATTTTTAATCGCCATTATTAATCGTGAGATTGATATAAATTATTATTTCTAACTTCAATTAAGAAATTTCTAGAGCTAACGTGCAGCATGTCCGGATTTCGTCGTAATCGGTCAGATCGATATCAAAAACAAGTTCACGTTCAACTGCTCGAAAATCCGCAAATTTTTTGTTATCGCGAGGCTGAAATCATTGTTTTTCCACCAAACTTTTGTAAACTGAATCAAAAAATCCCGGAGGACAAAAGTTGCAGCGCAAACCTTGTGATTATAAACTGCCCCAATATCAAGTTTACGTGGGTTTGCTCGACGTAATTCACGCTCAAACTCGGCGCAATCATTGAAACTACGAAATCGCACATGCACATCGTTTTCCAGAATAAACGCGAGTTCACGTAATTGAAAATAAGCCGACGGATCTGCAAAAACTAACTATTATAAACATCTACTTTTTTACCCTTACAAAATTTGCGCTTACTTTCAAAATTTATATGAATAAATCCAGTTTTTTGCATAAAATAAATAATACGAATGAAGAACGAATAAAGTACAGAGTTAAGTAACCGGGACATAAAACGGATAGCCTTCTCCAAGTTACTTTTTTTCCGAATTCAATTTCAGTTCTGTTCTATGGAAGTAAGACATAGAACACCAAGGTTAATGTGCAAAAAAGTTAGCGATAGTCCAACAAGTCATAAAACGAAACATTTTATGAGTCAAAAAGCTGCTGCAGCATATCTCCCGTAAAGTATTGCAATTCCCGCCGAACGTGTTTTCCAGCAAAGTAAGTCTTTATTTTTATATGTTGTCTGGGAGTTATACAAATACAAAAATGCATAATTGCTCTGCTTGTTTGTTTATCAGATAGAAAAAAACTGTGAGTTTTTTGGGGTTTTACGCGTAATTGAAATTTCAAGAGTTTCAGGCATACTTAAAGATATCCACCCCTCCTCGGCCTCGACAATTATTCTCAAAGGGAATTAGAGATACGTGAAAGAGGTTCGAGTGTTAGCACATGTCAAACCCAGTGGCAAGGCTGTCGATGGCTTCCTCTTTCAATAGTTGCTCAGAAGCAAGCTGATAGCAGGCCCTGGATCAAATGAGCCGTTAAATCTATTCCTCTTCCACTCCTCACAAAAAGATATGGCCCTCAGCTATGAAATGCCACTTCAAAGCCACATTAGCAACAAATATCTACTGAACGAAACTGCACAGAAAAAAAAGGCCAATCTCCAAATTATACGACGCTAAAAATACGTTAAAATTCGGAGGCGCGAAAAAACGGTGCGCACCCCGAGTATCATCGAACTCCCTAGAAATTTGTTCAAAAAAACAAACTTCTGCCGTAGCTCAACCATTTGTAAAGCGTCTTGGTCGGGAAATGCCGTCGATAGTATTCGGGCAGAGTTTGCAAAAGCAGAGATTCGTCAAAATCCGCCATTTATCCTGCAAAATGAACATTTTAGGGCACCAACTGACAACCTA